TTTGTAGCAAAAGGAGGGGAGTGGTTGACTTTGCAGTCCAGGAGTAGAGGTCCCTGGGACCATCAAGGGAGAAGACTGGAGTGAGGTACCCTACCCAGATAAACAGTGACGCCAGAGATGGAGGCAGAGATGATGACATGGATAGACGGAGCAGCTGGGGACTCTAGACCCAGAGAGGAAGAGGGGCTGGGTGCTGACGACCGAGGGGCTGGCTTGTGGGGTATACCCTTTGGTTGGCTGATGATGCATGGAGGGGATTGTAACCATGGCAATGAAATGATATACAATAGGATGAATGTAAAGCTAATGTTCTCCCATGTAAACTATCACATAATTCATAATAAAATATACATATTTTTAAATTTCGGTGTGGTGCTGTAGGATAAGCAATGGACCACAGGTCAGTTTGAATCACAAGGTCGGTGATTCAAACCCACCACTCTCTCCTTGGAAACCCTACACAGGGTCACTATGAATCTGAACCAACTCAAAGATACTTAAAAACAATTTTATCATAAAAACTATTTAGTTTGTGTAAGTGTGTAAAAATTAGTTTTCTGTGAGTACATTTTAACAGATTTTAAATTTTTGGTTTTGTTTAAAGAATAGTAATTGATTTTTTTATTTGGCCTGAATAGTATTTGATGGTTAATAATTAAGATAACAAGATGTTGATGATGTTTTAAAAGCTTTGGCTTTCTCTTCAGATAAAAACCTCAAGTTTATAGGCAATCTAACTTCTCTGATATAAGCAGTAAGAAGACAGTAAGCAATCAGTTAGCATTAAAGCCTGGATGGATTAAAAGAAGGTCATGAAATGATTCCATTCACCTTGAGCATATACTATAAAGATTGAGCCACAGCATACTGAAATAATTCACAACTATTTCAGAGCCTCAACAAAGAAAGTGGTAGCTATATGGCTCATGGGACAGACAGTGACAACAATGAAATGTATGAAGTGTTAAGAATGGATAGGTTTTACTATGATAATATCAGAAACACTCTTTTTTCTTGGCTTTTCCCACTACCTTTGGGTTAACCTTCTTAAAACTACAACCAGAAAGTAGACTCACTCAAGTGTGCATGTAATAACCTAAATTGCTTTCACTTTTTTCCTATTATCAGTGATGCAGATAAATCCATGTATTAGACCTCGGTCACACTGATGTTTGCTTAACTTAAAGTGCTGCAACCAAGTTAACAGCTGCCAAATACATTAAATCTCAAATGCTTCAAAAAACTAATTAAAATGATGATTTTCAATTAAGTATGAACTCTGTATCGAATGTTTTAAATATTAGAAAAAACTATATGTATGGCAGTTGGCCTAAAGCTTTTGGTACCACTCTTTTAAGAAAAATGTCTTCCTCAAAAAGTAATGATTCTAAGATCAGAAAACTCTTGCAAATCCACTTTTACCAACTTTTTTGTTGTTGTTTGCTTTCATTTATGCAGAACATGACTTGTAATTTTTCTAACAAGCTTTGATTTCTTGTTATGTATTCCTAAATAAATAGTCGTTGTTGTTGTTAGGTGCCATCAAGTTGGTACCGACTCATAGCGACCCTATGCATAAGAGAATGACACACTGCCCGATCCTGGGCCAACATCACAATTACTGCCACTCTTGAGCCCATTGATGCTGCCACTTTGCCAATCCATCTCATTGGGGGTCTTCCTCTTTTTCTCTGACCCTCCACCTTATCAAACATGATATCCTTCTCCAGTGACTGGTCCCTCCTGACAATATGTCCAAAGTGTGAGAGAGGAAGTTTGGCCATCCTGGCCTCCAAGGACTGACTATGACTGTTAACATTATTAACTCAAATGCCCTAAGGCTGACAATATATCTGATATATGTGTAGCATTTCTGGTTAGACATTTTACAGACAATTATATGTAACTCCTTCCTGTATTCAAAAGTAAACCCAAAATATGGGGGTTTTTTTTGTTTTTTTAAAAAATTACTATAAAAATGTCCATGCTATAAAACTATTTATTTTAACAGTAATTAAAGAGCACTTTTTATAACAAGTCATCTATTCACATTCCCTACCTTGCTCCAAATGCATGAACATGAATCATATATTAAATAAATAGCACTTTCCTGGACTTTGTTATAGAAATGCAAGCAAGAAGTAGACTAAAATATAGTTATAAAAATTAAAACTCACAACTGCAAACCAGAACAAAAGTATGTTTCACTAAGCTTACTTCTAAATTCTGATTCTAAAGGAAGATTTCTCCAAACGGCAAGTGAACGAATATCAAAAATTCAACACAGAGGAGGGTAGAAACTTTACTAGAGATTTCTTCCTCAGTGCTCATCACAGTGATCTGGAGGGGCCTGGCTACTCAAGAATGGGCTGTGATTTAGAACAGAATGCTTCAAAACAGCAATGGTAAGACTACTGTACTTGAAACCAAACAATCAACATCAGCTCTCCTCAGCCCACTTTCTTCTTATTTTAGTCTTACTGAGTCATGTAACTTGCACAGTTGATACCCAAGTGCCTGCTGTTCTGTCCCATGTTCACAGACATTTCTCTTGTTATGGTTACGTGCAGTCTAGTCGGTTCTGACCCACAGAACCCTTTATAATAGGGTTTCCGAAGAGTGCAGTTCAAACCGACTTTGTAGTCCAGTGCATCAGGATTCCTCTGTCACATGTCTGTGAACAGAAAACATTTCTCCTTTACTGTATCTCCTATCTAAGAATGGAGCCCTGGTGTGGCGCTGTGGGTTAACGTACTGAACTGCAAGGTTGGCGGTTCAAGCTCACCAGCCGCTCCTTGGAAACCCTATACAGGGTCGCTATGAGTTGGAACCGACTCGAAGGCACCTTGTTGTTGTTGTTGTTAAGTGCCGTCGAGTCGGTTCCGACCCATAGCGACCCTGTACAGGGTTTCCGAGGGTGTAAATCTTTACGGGAGTAGAAAGCCTCATCTTTCTCCCGCGGAGTGGCTGGTAGTTTCGAACCGCTGACCTTAAGGTGAAGGCACCTAACAACAACATATCTAAGAATTTCTGGGGGTGGGAGTCTCGTCAGTGTGTATCTGCTGGTGTTGTTGTTAAGTGCCATGGAGTCGGTTCCGACTCATAGTGACCCTGCACAGGGTTTCTGAGGCTGTAAATCTTTACGGAAGCAGAAAGTTTCATCTTTCACCCGTGGTGCCGCTGGTAGTTTCGAACTGCTAACCTTGAGGTTGTCAGCCCGACTCGTAACCACTACGCTACCAGAGCTACTTAGAGCCCCTTGATAAGGTTTCCGAAAATGGATACTTTTACGGGTGCGGGCAGTCTCATTTTTCTCCTGCTGAGCGGCTGGTGGGCTTGAACTGCCGACCTTGCGGTTAGCAGTCCATCATCTACCCAGCAGAAAACGTTCCATTTCCTTAACGTCAATGTATAAAGAGGAGTGAAGGCTGTGAGCGCAAAAAAAATAAATAAACAATAATCCAGAAACCTGACCTTGCCCACAAGTCAGATAGTTCTGTCCCCCTCCCCCTAGCTTCCCGGGAGCTGGCTCACGCCATCCCAATTGGTCAGTCTGCCTGTTCCAACACCTGCTAGGAAGTGACAAGGGAGTCTCCACAGATGACGAGGGTCTGAAGAGCAGAGGCGGCGGCGGCCTCGGAAACGGTGGGGCCCAGAAGAAAGGGATTCGAAGAAAAAGAGAGTACTTTCAAGGGATGAGGACCACCGGTCTTGGAAGGACGACTGGGGGACGGGAGAGGCGTCTCAGGAGGATCCCGGTAAAATGAAGGGGATGAGGGTAGCTTGCAGGGATGCAAATGAGAAGAGCGAAAGGTCTGGGGGACCCGGGGCTAAGAGGCCGAAGCGGCGAAAGAAGTACGCTACGAGCAAGCAGCGCAGAGAGGCAGGGGCTGCGGCGGGCCCGGGTGCACGGACTCACGTTCTCCAACTAACAGGATCCGCACATCTTTCTTCATGTCGGCGGCTCGCAGGGGCCGGGCTCGGCCCGCACGCATGGAGCGGACTGCTTCTCTCGCCAGGAGCGCCCACACCACGATGCCGCTCTTCCGCGCTGCCGGCCTGACAGCCTCCCCCGCCGCCCCGCCCGATCCTCGGCCGCCTAAGCCCGCTGCGCCGCCTCCTCGGCTGCTTCCCAGCTCGGAAGCTGGGAAAGCGCCTGCTCCGTGTCCTCGGGCTCCGTGGACGGCAGCGGCGGCGGAGAGACCAACAGTGAACGACGAGGGACAAACATTTTCTGAACGCGAACGCGCTTCGGAACTAAGCAGCGCCCCCTGGAGCAGGCTTTGCGCAGTGCAGCGTCTGTGAGCCTTGCCCACACTTCCCTAGGCACATCCACCAGAAATAGATAACGCTTTGGGTGAGGAATTTCAGCAGCCAATTAGCTAGTCTAACCACATTTATTTTACAGACCGGAAACAGGTCACATAGTTAGAGCTTGGAAGTGACTTAGAGGAGAGACCTTCTCACCAAACTTTAAGCAATCAGGAGCGGATAACCCAGTAAGAGTGCTAAGCAAATAAGTACAAGGAAGCAGAGCACCCTCACTGGGTACTCTGTCCTTGTTAGAGACGGCAAATTTGAAAAGAGGCTTTGATTCTAAAGAAAGGTGTTCTGGAGTCGAGAGAGAGACAGATGCCAGCTATACCTACAAGTTGAATCTAAGTGTGGTAAAAAAAAAAAAAAAAAGTGAAATTGTTCACGATAGATTAGGAAGTAAGCACAAGTAGGCCAATGCTTACCTTGCTTATTGAGTAATCTGCCACTAGCAGCACCTGTCTATCTGGCTCTCAGTTGTTTCCCCATCTTTTTGGATCTCGGTAAATGTTTGATTGAATAAAAGAATGCCTGGTTCCAAGGTTTCACCCATTTCCATAATCCAAAACCCACCACCCTAGCTGGTTTTTTGCTTGTGGTGCTTACAAATATAATGATAAATAATGAGAGTAGTTTTTGCATTGTTTGTGTAAACAGATTCATTACTTTGTAGCCAAACTGACTTTTCTGTGTGTGGCTTACTTTACTGTTGTTGTTACGTGCTGTCAAGTCGGTTACTACTCATAGCGCGGCACCGGATAGTATGGTTTCCAAGGAAATGTGGTGGGTTTGAACTGCCAACCTCGTTACTCAAACTGACCTTGCGGTTCAGTGCATAATCCTGCAGCACCACACCAGGACGCCTACTTTATGGTAGTGCCTACCTTCTTTTACCCGTCTTGCCCGGTATAGTGTTGAATATATAAATGGCAATGAATAGTAAATTCCTTCTGATTTTAACCAACATTGCCATAATTTTCTCCCAACATTCTCCATATGGAGGAATTTGGTGCTCTATCCCTAGTGCTAGAACAGTCGTTGGCACTATCTGTGCCTAGTGTACCTTTTTGCTGTCTTTTTTAAGTGTCGTCGAGTCAATTACAACTTATAGTGATCCTGTATACGGTTTCAAAGTCTTTTTAAATCTTTGCAGGATCAGAAAGTCTCATCTTTCTCCCATAGAGTGACTGGTGGACTCGAACCACCGACCTTGTGGTTCACAGTCTAATACTTATCCTATGTGATTGTCAAGTGCTGTCGAGTCAGTTCTGACTCATAGCAATTGCCAATAAATTGTCACAGGGATGAAAATGTGTGTCATACTAACCCCACTTTCTCCTTGGAGTAGAAGTGTGGTTTAGTGTAGCAGTAAAGAGCAGGTGACAAATTAACTGGGATTGAATCCAGATTCTATCACCTCATAGTTATGTGATCCTGAGCAAGTTATTTTACTTCTCTGAGCCTGTTTCTTCTTTCACAATATGGCAATAATGCTAACACCTACATCTTAGGGAGGTTATGAGAAATCGATAAGGTAATACATGTCAAGTATTTGATACAGTACCAGACTCACAATACCTGCACTAGGGTCGATCAGCTATTGTTGTGATCATAAATCTTCACTCATAAGTTATATACTGTTGTTGTTAAGTGCCGTCGAGTCAGTTCCTACCCATAGCGACCCTGTATAGGGTTTCCAAGGAGTGACTGGTGAGCTTGAACAACTGACCTTGCATTTCAAACAGCTTTGCAGTCAGGTGCATTAACCCATAGCGCCACAGATGCAGCTATTATTGATCTATTCATGTGCAGAAGAAAGAAAAATAATGAGAATTGAAGATGCTTGGAATCAATTACTCTGACAGACTAATGGAACATGTGACCATCAGTCTTCATGACTGTGAGACCAGAACTAGATGGTGCCTGGCCACCACTACCAACTGATCTGAAAGGGATCACATTAGGTAACAGATAGAGTGGGAGAAAATGTGGAACAAAACTCAAAAGTATTTTTAAAAAACCAGACTTACGAGTCACAAAGAGACTGAATGAATCTGAGACTATGGCCCTCGACCACCCTTCAGGTCTTGAAAGGAACTCACCCTCATGGCGCAATTTTCAGCCAAGCAGTAGATAGGTATGTAGGGGGGACAATAACACTCACAAGGTATGGTGTGGTCAATCATTCAAAATCAGAAGGGCAGCATTGACTTACGGACAGAGTTGAGAAGAATGGGAAGGTGTGTGGAAGGGAAATGAACCACCACAGGGAGGAAACAGAATATCTGTGGTTGTAGGGAGGGGATTGCAATCATTGAGATGAAACAACATGGATGATTTGTTGACTGTAACACTGATGATTTTATCTCTAAACCTTTACTCAATTCACAATAAAAAGTGTTGTTGGTTTTTTTTAAGCTAAAAATAAAAAAACTTTTTGAAGTTGAGTTTTGAGACTAATATGTTGTTTTCTAATATCTCACCATAGTGTTATGAAGTTACATGTTAAAGGAGTCAATAAAATAGAAAAATATTTAGAATAGTGCCCGTTATACAGTAAATGATATATAAATGTTGGATAAATAAGTTGTAAGAGTAGTGGTTTCTGTACGTGTCTCTGAGCCTGAGGATAGATCTGCATGCTACAGCAAAACAAAAATCAGAGAATGGAGTTGCTGGCAATAGAATTTACTGATGGGATATTACAGAATGAATTCTATACATTAAAGAGATTGGACAAAGCCAAGAGACAGATTGGTGTCTGCAAGGCACTGATGGAATTTTCCTCTAGAATATTGGAAGGGACTTCATGCGTCTTTGTGCCAGTGGCTCTGGGAGGTCTTAACCAAGTACCTTTGCCGGAGATAGGAGGATCCATTTTTTATACCTATCAAAGGAAGATACTGGAATACAGCCTCTTCTGAGTCCTAGAATAATGGAACACCCAGGGCCAGTGGACAAGCCTTCTGGGTAGAAGATACAATATGTGTTAAATGACTGGCACAGGGTAGAACAAGGGGCTGGTCTTGGGTTGGTGAGTTAGACACAATCTGGGCAGGTAGCCAAATCAGACTTAAGCTGGCACCAATCCTACTTTCCAGGTCCATCTATCTTTGGTCTCTCGAATTAAATCCAAAGCAGCATCCATTACCTCCCCTCTTTTAAACTCTTCACTTTTGCTTCCCATTCTTTCCTGAAAGCCTTCCTCCTTTTCCTTCCAAACCCACTCTGGTGGAACAAAAAAGTCCAATGCTCTGTGTCTTAGTCATCTAGTGCTGCTATAACAGAAATAGCACAAGTGGATGGCTTGAAACCACAGAACTTTATTTTCTCACAGTTTGTTGTTGTTGTTAAGTGCTATTGAGTCAGTTCTGACCTATAGCAATCCTGTATAGGGTTTCCAAGGAGTAGCTGGTGAGCTTGAACTGCCAAGCTTGCAGTTCAAACGGACTTTGCAGTCCAGCACATGAGCCCGCAGCACCACACTAGGACTCCTTCTTACAGTTTAGGGGGCTTGAAGTCCAAATTAAGGGTGTTGGTTCCGAGGGAAAGCTTTCTTTCTGTGTTAGGTCTGGAGGAAGATCCTTATCCCTTCTGAGCTTCTGCTCCTAGGAGATCTTCATGTGGCTTGACATTTCTCTTCCCCCATGTCTACTTAACTCACTTGCTTATTTATTCTCTTTTATATCTCAAAAGAAGTTGATTTGGACTTCCAGGCAAGATGGCAGAGTAGGTAGACATGCTGAGTAAACCCTCTGTAAAAAGGACATAGGAGAGAAAATAAAACAGATACAGATAGTGATTCTAGAACCTTGAGCTTCAGAGGATAAGATAGAGAGGTGGACTAAGTGCTAAGTGGAAGAGGAAGCTGATCAGGAGTGATGACAGAGAAGCAAAACAGGCAGGCTGTCAGCTGGGCTGGGGCAGTGTGGCGTCTTGAGCTTTTGCTAGTGGCTGTCCATATGCAGCAGCCTGCAGGCACACGGCACAGGTTGGTGGCAAGGAGGGTGGTAGCCAAGGGTGTGGCCAGTTCCCAACCTCGACAGCCCATCAACCAGTGGCACCCATTCCTTCAAAGCCTTTGCTCTCTCTGGGATCAGGCACCAAGCATGCCACTGTATGTCTGGAGTCTTTTGAATTTCATCTCATTAGATCTTTTATTGCTGTTGTTTGTTTTTGGGAGGCAGCTCTTGTGCGCATATGGCCCAGCTACATCTGTACCTCCTGCAGCTTCACCCACTAGGCAAGTGCCCCTACTTATTCCCATACCACCTGATCAAAAAATAATCAGCAGCTAACATCAGACAAACCCACCCTGAACTAAACTACACAAACAGCTGCCAGAGAAGCATGTGCATACTTTGAATCTCTCTCACATCCATCAGGAGATAGGTGGCAAGTGCCTGAGAACACATAAGGCATACGATCATCAATTAAAGATAAATACAACACCACAATGTCTCAAAGACAACATTTTCAGTTTATAGGAAGAAACAAAAGAGAGTGCCTTAAACAAGGAACCAAAATACAGAGTCAAAAAACGTAATACCAGAAGTGGTATTGGAACAACCTGATAAGGAATTTTTTAAAATGATATTTAGGTACCTTCAATGCACTGAGAGGATGATTAAGAAAACTGCAGATGAAATCAAGGAAAACACAGACAAAACTTTAGAAGAATTTTGGAACAAGCTACAAGAACAAATTTACAATGGAAAAACATAAAAACAGCAATCAGAAAGCCAGAAGATTAATTCTA